AGCACTGAACCCTGTGGAACTCCATAATTAACCTCAGTGTGTGAAGAGGACTCTCCATTTACATGCACAAATTTCACATTACACTGTGAAATGAAAGAATAGTACAAATAAGCAATTGGAGCTAAAAAAAGAAATCATAGATTCAATTTATAGAACAAAATTTATTCTAAACTTCTAGACTCAATAAAGTAGCCACCTTTGGCAGATATAACACACCTGTGGCATTCTTTCTACAATAGAAATCAAATATTCTTCAGAAAGTTCTTCCCATATCTGTTGCAGAAGTTCCCATAAATGTGTGGCACTTGTAGGTTGCTTTGCTTTCACTCTTCTGTCCAGTTCATTCAAAACCAGCTCGATGGGGTGATCGAACTGTGCTGGACACTCCATGTTTTCAAGCTTTCAATCATGTTCCTTTTTCCTGAATCAGTTCTGGCAGTGCTTGAACTTATGTTTTGGGTCATTATCTTGCTGTAGAACCAACTAGGCGCATACAAGCGGGTATTGCATGGTGCTGCAGAATGCTGTCGTAGCAATTTTGGTTCAGGGTGCCTCTCACTCTGTGAAAGTCACCAACCCTGGATCCAGCAAAACAGCCCCAGGTAATCACACTTCCTCCTCCATGTTTGACTGGAACCATCCTTTTGCCTACTTGAAGACGTACAACGATCCTGCATGATGAACTAAGATTTCAAATTCTGATTCATCAGTCCATAATACCTTCTTCCAGTCTTCAGTAGTCCAATGGCGACATTTCATGGCCCAGGCAAGCCTCTTTGTCTTATTCTAATGTCTTAGCAGTGGCCTTCTTGCTGCAACTCGTCCTGTCAAACCTGCAGCTCAAAGTCTTCTCTTGAGTTGAAACTGATACTTACTTACTACAACCACTATTAAGCTGTTGTCCTGTGAGCCACCAATCACGCAAGCTGTTAACTCTCAGATACTTGTCCTCTGAGCCAGTTATGGCTTCGGGTGTGCCAGACCTCTTCCTATCAGAGTTTGTCCCAGTTTCTGAGATCCTTTTAGTTATGAATGAAACTGTACTCACTGACATTTGGACTTTCTTTGCAATTTCCTACATTTTTAAGTGTTATGATGGTCTTTCTCTCTTCCATTGTTAATTCCCCTTTTCCTCACCATTTTTGCAGCAACACGCTACTTTCTGCAGTACAGTTGTCATGGATCGGTGGGAAGAGAGGGGACCCAAACGCTGGACTCTTCCAAGAGAAAACAGTGAATTTATTTACAGTGATTAATACGAATAAATATGTACAATTTACAAGTACTGAGGCTCCTCTGAGGCAGCTTCCAGAAAGTCCTCCACACTGTGCGAATGTCTGTGCTAGCGAAAAAAAACCCAGCTCCAACAATCTGTGCTTCAACCCGTGCTTCTATTCACAATCCCGTGCTCATGCTCTGACTCGTGGCTCCTCTCTTGTACTTCTCCCGTGACTCAGTTTCTGCTCTCCAATCCCTGGGGACAACCCCCCCCCCAAAAAAAAAAACAAAAAACCCACACACGTGTTGGCAGGCAATTTTAAAACAAACAAACAAGCGAGGCTCATCCCGGTTCTATTGACGAGAATTAACTCAACAACCCAAGGTCGACTGGAGGTTAGCCACACTGCTAAATAGGTCGCTCTGATGACAGCAATCAGCGCAGCCGTCACTGCTTTTATGCAGGCAGAGGGGGTTGTAAGTAATCCAGAAAAGTTGGAACACCTGTAGGAATTAGTAGCACCAGCTTTCAAGGCTTGATCACGCTCCATTGATGCAGAACAGCTTTAAATTGTTAACCCATTTGGTGTTCGCTAAAAAAGGCCTAATTCTAAAATGTGCATTATTTTTCAGTAACCTTACATTTTTTTTTAACCCCTGGCACTTCACCACTTACCCTTTATAATATTTCAAACTATTCATTGGACTTGAACAACTTATACTGCAATAAATAACTGGAAAAATTGAGGAGTTCTAACACTTTTGACTGGTGGTGTACTTGGAATGAGTGTTTCAACACTTCTTTTACGATATTTCTTACTTCTCTAAAGTCTAGATATTGTTTCTTATTTCAAGAAACCTTACCAAGTTTAAGTAACTTACTGCACTGGCAGACTATTTCACTTGACTGTAGTCTGGATCTTCTCGAATTAAATATTTTTTCCTTATATTTGCATATAAGTCAACTTTTGCAGTGAGTGTTGTCAAACTTTATTTTGTGACCATCGCTCTGGCCCAATCATTTTCTTTCTGTGAGCCACCAGCCGCTGTTCATTGTGCTCTTCTGTCATTCTGCCTTTCAGATTCACATTAGTGCAGCATGCATCTTCCCCATCTCCACGTCATGTTCCAAGTGCCCACCTGCTTCATCTGTGCCACCACCAGCATTTTGACACAGGCGGGTTCATAACATTGCTGAACTCTACTCGGCTAGTGAACGATAGATTAGTAAAACTCTGTATTTCAATGAATCAAGTTCATTTTCGTCAAATGATTTCTTTGTACAGAGTAGGTGTTCACTCTGCTGCGGGACAGCAGAAAATTAACAAATTTCTTTTCCCACCTGTTTCACACACACACACACACACACACACACACACACGTGTATACATGTGCATACAAGCAGAAACAGGTACAAAAAAGTTTTAACCCCCTTTAATAAAACAAAAGAAGATGCTGGCAGTCCAATTTAAATAGCATTGTCACCGTTCTAGGTCATTTTGACCCAGCATTTTCTGTTTATTATATTTTGGTGTTTTTTCTGTATTAGAATTTATGCTCTGGTTCTTTAAATTGTGCTGTTTTGATTATTATTCTACGTTTAGTTCAGTGTCAAATTTGCATCTTTGTGATTTGTTTCATGTTTCCCGTTTTATTTTGATAGTCTCAGTCCTATGTCATTATATTCAGTTTTACTTTCTCTGTCTCCTTAGCCCTAATTTCTCCCAGCTGTGTCTCCCTCCTGTTTTCCATTCCCTGATTACTCCACTGCAGGCACGTGCAGAGGGGGGGGCTAGAGGGGCTTGAGCACCCGCCCCTTTCCTGATGGGTGCCCAAAGTGCCCTTTTGTTGAGGCAACTTTTTAAAAAAAAAAATTTATTCTTTTTAATGTGTGTGTGTGTGCGGAGTCCTGTCTGTGCCCCTCAACAATAATATTTAACTATTAATCACAGTTTTGCTAAATAAAAGGATCTGGCTTGCATCAGTCACATGATCACATTTAACCAATGATC